GTCCCACCAAAGTGGTCCCTATTTTTCTACTTGCATTTTTTATGTGCTTTCAAACTGCTAGGTTGGTAGAAGCTGGGACAAGTAATGAGAGCTCACTCTGTTAAGCAGAGCTAGGGATTCGAACTGCTGACCTTCTGATCGACAAGCTCAGCCTCTTAGCCACTGAGCCACCATGTCCCTTTGATGCAAATAGTACTGCTAATTTCAAAGTTCTAGCCATCACAGCATCCCTTGCAGTCACATGATCACAATCCAGGCACTCAGAAACTTCTGCATTTCCTACCATTACATGATCATGATTTGCAACCTTCCACCAACATGGAGTCAGGCTGTATAACCACATGGCTTTGGTGATGGAGATTTGGATTCCAAGTGAGAACTGCCTGTATTTTAAATTATACTGGCTATTGTAAATCACTGAAAATTATCAACATACTAGGCTCAAATAACATCCTAAGCTCCAATGTGATGTAACTGTTTCGTGACTCAGTATTAGCCAATGTAGTGTTTCAATATATTGTGGGAGCCCCAACAATTTGCTCAACTCAGTCAAATATAATTTGGTAAACACATTGAACAAACATACCCCTTTTCTTCCCCTGCTAATCTGTCTCCATTTCTTGCCTTATGCTTTCTTTCCCTTCTGTTTCTCAACTATAATTTTCTCAGTGCAGAGATCCATCTTCTTAATTCTTTATGAAGTGCCTAGTAATGTGTACTGCTATCTTGATTATTATTCATGCCGCTACATTTTAATGATTTGGGTAATTATGTTATGCATGGAAGCTAAGCTGAAGTTATCCCCCACTGGTTGACAGAATCCTCCAACTTTGAGTTGCCAAGACAAGTCAGATGGAAGGAGTGTCAATATTCCATTGTTAGGGTGCAGAAGTCAGCTTGTCACTGAGGGCTGCTTTGTTCAATTCCTGTGTGACAGCCTAGCAAGAAAGACAGGGGAAGTAGTGATAGGGTGGACTGCAAAGAGTGGTGAAGAACAGAAGGATGAAGGAGACAATGGCTGCCTTCTTCCTAACCTGGCTCTTGAAAAGATGGTTGGGTTTTACACATGATTAAACAATAGTTTATTCAAAAGCAACAACTGGCTGAGTTTTCATAGCACTCAGCACCAAAACTAAACAAAATGCATAATTGGTTAGCATGCTGGGTGAACCCAGCAATCTGAGCCTTTCTGAAAGAGAGAAAACAACAAGAACATGCTTTTACACACTTACCCATGATGTTACAAGGCAATGTTCTCTTCATTCATCTTGTGAAATGTCTTACATATATAGGTATGCATGTACTGATACTTCTTGATTTACAACCACAATTGAGCCCAGAATTCTATTCATAAGTTATTGCAGTCATAAGTCAAGGCACCCGCATAACCAGAAGTAAGTGGGTGTGGGTGTGTTTGTGTGAATGCCCCAGTAGTTAAGGGAATTCATTTGTTTGAATAGTCACAATGTAAATTGGCAGAAAATACATAGCAAATCCTGGTCTCATGACCCCAGAACGCTGCCAATTATCATAATGCTGATCCGCTCAATGAGATCACACGACCACAGGGTGTGTGTGACCATTTACAACAGCCAGGATGCTGGAAGTCACCTATGTCTTGACTGTCATAGCTTTGAACAGTCGTAAAACTTACTGCCAATAGTGTGAGATTGTATTTGAGCTCTTATTCATATTTGATTGAATTCATTCTTTATCTTGCTCCAGAGTCACTTTTCTTTCCTGGAGCTCCTTAATACCTTCCTTGGGCTGGTCGAAGAGGCCATTCTGTAGTAATTCTATGAAGCATCCCTGTCAACCGCTTACTCCAGTAGCTCACCAAGCACTCCTCAGAATTATCTGTCTGCACTTTGGGAAATTCAGGGCATTTGTTAGATCCCTCCTCCCTTGGCATTGGAAAACTCTACTGAGACGTACTTGGAAAATATTTAGCGAACACACATATAAGATTATATTTTATATGTAAACATGGTTTTTTTGCCTGAACCATTGCAAGCAATATTTTCATTGCTGAAGATCTTTCTGTTGCAGAGGAGACAAAACTTCAAACTAAGTGCTAACTACTTTGGGGATGTAAGTACAGAGAATTCTTGTGATTCGTGTGAGTTATATTCTATAATATGTCACAAACTCTGAATCAGCAAATATTGAAACATCAGCAGGGGATGTGCATGTTGCACAACTCAAAATTGCTACAAGTATTGCAAAAGTACTATGAGTATTGATTTTATGGTTACAACATATAAATGTTGGCTGGTAGGTGAATTTGCAAATATGAAAACCATGAATGGTTCCACCATAAAACCGCGCTCGACTAAACCGCGCCCGACTAAACCGTGTCACTGATGTCATCAACAGGGCAACAACAGCCAGCGAGAAGAAAGAAGGGCGCTAAAAAAAGCGTTTTAAATGAAAGCCGATTCAACTTAAGGTAAGGGTTAGGTTTAGGGTTAGGTTTAGGGTTAGCTTTAGGGTTAGGTTAAGGGTTAGGGTTAGGTTAAGGGTTAGGGTTAGGTTAAGGGTTAGGG